CAGGGAGTCTGCCCCCTAACGAACAAGCAACTGAATCCGCTGTCTGGACACAGTCCTTGTGCGGAGCAGGGTGTGTCTCAGAGCTGGCAACATCCTGCCTGGGGCAGCCAGTCCACCTGTATCCAGGCTCTGGCCACGAGCGCAGGCACATCTGGCCCTGGAGCCATGCTCCTGCAGCAGCTCCCTGTGGCAGGGCACAGAGGTGCTCGGGCAGGGAGGGGTGTGGGCAGGGAGGGGGTGCAAGTAGGGAGGGGCGCGGGCAGGGAGCGGTGACTCGCACGCCTGCTGCGCACATAAACCAACTCCAAGGCAGCCCTCCCACGAGCTCTGGGGGGCTCAGAAGCTCGTCTCTCTCCCCGCCAGCAGCTGGTCCCAGAACAGCTGTTGCCTCTTCTCTGCACCCACCCTGCACGGTGCGACCCGGGGCAGCCGCCGGCGTCAGTGTGTCGTTAACGGAAAGCCATTGGAACAGAGAAACTCAGTCGTGGGACACTAAGCCGGGAGGGAGTTTCCCCCCCCTGCGTAGCCGCGACTGGCCGGCCTGCGAGAAAGGGAAAACCCTGAGAACCCCGTGAGATGGGCGGAGACGCGGCCCATCGGCCAGTTACCTGTACAGCTTGGGGATGGCGTGGGCAGCTGTCTTGCGCACGTACGGAGACATGTCCGACGCTGCCTCCTTGATGGCCAGCATCATGATGGGCACGATGATGGGCACCCGGATGCTGGAGAGGACCCGCAGGGCGCTGGCCCGGATCAGCTGGTTGGGGTCCTGCGGGGGGAGGGGGGAACGGGACACGGGAGACAGCTCCAGGCAGGCTTTGCAGGGGAGCTGCGTTCCTGACTCAGGCGGCAGGGCGAGGGCCCAGCAGCAGCCCTGGGTGCTGGAGGGAAGCCAAGGGACTCGTGCCACACCCACCACGCTGCACCCTGGGCCGTTAATGGGGGGTCCTGCTGGGCAGAGGGGGGGCTGCTCCCCAGGGTGACCCCAGAATCAGGGCTGCCCCCGCTGCCAGAGCACCACTGACTTTCGCC